AGGCAATTCTGAGAGATTTAGAATTCCTACCAGGATTCATTATTGGTAGCCACAATCTTAACAAGATAAGATATGCAGAGGACACAGTGTTGATAAGCAGACACAGAAAGCAAACTACAAGAACTCCTACAGAAGGTAGTGAAAGAAAGCAAGAAGAAAGGACTAAATATCAATTGCAAGAAAACAGAATGCAAAAGGAATGGCTCAACATGCAATTTACAAATTGGAGATACCAAAATCAAACAAGTACAAAAATTTAAATATCTGGGAAGTGTTTTAAATGCACATTGGGATAGCCAAAGATGCGCTTCAAACAGAGTATTAAGAAATAGACACATTTTGTTAAGGACAAAAAAAGATAGAGTACTGAACTGTGATGTAATATCAGTTCTCCTATATGGCAATGAATGCTGGCAATCTCCTCACAGATGAAAAAGAGACTTGAGGCAACATAAATGTGGCTCTACAGAAGGATGATGAGGATACCATGGACTGAACATGTGAGTAATGATTGATGTTTTAGAAAAAAATAGGAGTAAAAAGGAAACATACTTAACATTAGGAAGAGATAGTTAAAAATTCTAGGGCACATAGTGAGGAAAGAGGGCTTGGAAAATCTGATGTTCACAGGACAGATTGAAGGCAAGAGGGACAGATCAGCTTTTTGTGGACTATTTAAAACTGAATCATATTTTGGATTGTAAGAATAATTCTTTTTTGCAATTGAATATTGCATTAACAATAACAATGATTTTTCTAGATACAAGTCCTACTATTTAACCCATAACTAGGGGAAAGAGAGGGATTCATACTTTTCCCAAGGGTATTTGCACATAAATGATTATAAAGAACCTTAGTTGAATTCAACTATAGCTCTCTGATTCCAAGCATTACACCCCCCCCACCATATGCAATGGAACATGAAGCAATGTCTATAAATTTTGAAACACAAAGCAAATGATATAAAACATGAAACATTAAGCAATGGTTATATTGATTGATTTGTTTTTATGGTTTATCAACCTTTTGCAGGATAATCCAGAAAATGTATTTAGATCATAAGAATTTTTGGAGATAATAATGATTTACTAATACAAGTCCTACTAATTAACTCATAAGTGTGGTGGGGAGGAAAGGTAGATTTATACCTTTCACAATGTTATTTGTACATAAGTGAATATAACAAACCTGACTGGAATTGGAACTCAGCTCTCTGTTTTCAAATTTTGAGCCATTATCCATTACAACACCCACATATACAAGCTTATGGCACCTGGTATGCCCATGTATTTACTCATCCTGGTAGTCACCAGGTTCGATGTTTCTTAACTTTGGTGTTCATATTAGAACAGGTGTTTCAACATGATAAACCCAGCAAAGGATGTAAAAATTGAAATATTAGGCAAAGTATATAAAAGCTGGAAATTAAGAAAATAATATAAAATTGGAAGCAAGCTTTGGATGAGAAAAGCAAGGCTCAGGCTGTGGCTTTAGATATCTTAAATGCATTCAAAAGTGTTTGGCATATTAGCCTTCTTTACAAGCTCAGGGGCTATGGTATCTCTGGCTGAATAATTGACTTAATCCAATTGTCCATAAAGTTGTGTTGAACGGCCACATTTCTAGATCCTTTCACATTAATACATGATTCCCCTGGGGCTCTATTCTTGGACCTACAATGATATATTCATCATCAACTTTTCCGATGTTATCAGTTCCCAACTTGGCATTTATGCTGATAACAAAGAAGGGTCTGTAATGTTATTAGTCCTAACCTGGCATCTTGACTTCAGTCACTTTTCCACTGGTGTGACATGGTTCCTCTGTGCCTTTTCTATAAATATTTTTATGGCAATTATTCTGATCATCTCTCCTCCTTGATACTTCATTCACATGAATTGAAGCAATCTTCTAGATTGGCAATTAGGTCTAATTATTTTACTGTTGAAATAGCTCAATGTAACTGTAAGTTATAGCCAAATAGTTTCTTTTCTCATACTTCTCAACTGTGGAACTCTCTTTCCATTTCTTCCTTCTTTGTCACTACAATCTTCAAAAATTTAATTGCAATATCAGTCGCCATATTCTGTCTTCCTGAAATTTGATCTTTTATTGTCCTTTCTCTTCACTAAAGTCTTCTCATTCTCTTTCTTTTCCAGTAACCTCTGGTGCCTTAGTGGCATTATTGCCTTGCTTGGAGTGAAATGATTAAAAAAAAAATTGATGCAAAGGATATAAAAAGTAAAATATATGGAAAAAGATATGAAATGAAAACATTAAACAAAGGATAGGAACATTTAAAAATTAAGCAAAAATATAAAAAAATGAAATGACAAAATGGATATAAAGAAAAGAAGCATTAAGCAAATTATATAAATTGTAGAAAATTAAGCAAATGATCTAATAATTTAAATTTTACATTATAAAAATTGCCACGATTCTAATAAATGAATAATTTTTAATCAATTTTAAATTGATTGATTGAGACTAACTGATTCTGATAATGATTGCTAAGTTGACCTATTGTTATAATTCCAGCTAAAATGATATTAAGCAGCTGGTCACTATTAGTTTCAGGTGCAAACATGCAATCTTCAGGTGATTGACAGTAGACCTATTGTGAACCACTGGAGCCAAGTGGTCACAGCATATCAGATGGTGGTTCTTACTGCAAGGGAGGATGCAGGTTCAAATCCTGGTGAAGGGTACATTTTCATTATTAGTTTTATTATAAAAAATATCATTTGAAGTGATGAAAATGTCATATTAAAAAATAAAATCATTCATATATATATATATATCGGGTGTAACAACAAAATTGTCCAAATCATGTAACAGCAAAATTGTCCAATTGTTGGATTAAGCTTTGAACTATTGTATCTTAGAAATGATTAAAGATATCTTACTGGAATTCTCCATTGTTTTTATAAAACTATTGGATACTACTTTGAAGAATAAGAATGTATTTAGCTTTAAGTTGAAATGATGATTCCTATTCCTGTTGTGACCTCCTGATAAAGTTTTCCTCTATACCATCCCCTCTTTTTTAAACTTATTCACCATTCTCTTGATGGTTCTTGAATGGACTTTGAAGATGGAAGCCAGAGTATGAATGTTGGACCATTACTGAAGGTCCGAATGATCCTTTTCCTCTCACTATTGCTCACTTGGGAAGACATAGTGGGGCTAACACAAAATACTTTTAACCTGTTCTCTTTATAGCTGAATAATTCAAAGGGTTTTTCAGTGATTCTTATGGCAAAGATGGCTAAATGTCTGAAAACCTGGAAAAAAGAAACTCAATTAGTTTAGTGGATTTTTAGATATTAAAGATTTTGTGGGATGGACAATTATCCCACGCTGTTACATGATACAATTTTGGTGTTACACCTGGTATATATATATATATATATATATATGGTGGACTCTCCTGTTGTATTCAATGTATGAGGGTCAAGCAGCTCAGTTCCTACGAACTGACAGCCAGACACCAACACATGATTTGATTATAGTGGTGAAGGCTTTGTGCAGAACCATCTACACTTTTGAAGGGCCAAATACAGAGACCTGGTGCCCTACATGCCACAAGGCCCCCAAACGTCCCTCCACAGGTTTTGAATTCAGTTTTCCTTCTCCTAGACCAGTTGCCATCCAAGGCTATAGAACCCAGTCTATCCTGCTATTTGCCCATAGCTGGAGGGAGAAGAAGTGAATTCATACCTTTCCCAAGGATATTAGCACGTAAGTGAATGTAATTGATTCGACTAGAATTTGATCTCAGCTCTACCAATTCCTTAATCCCAGCCACTATCCACTACTCCAGTGTGCCTATATATATATATATATATATATATATATATATATATATAAAAGTGTGGAGTAAAAGCCGAGTTAGCAATACTTAAATAGGGAACCAAGTTTGAAATTTTGTTGAAAAGGCACTTCTTCCTGTATTTTGTCTTATCAAAAAACATCTTCAAATGTCTCATCCTTGGCATGATACAGTCAATGGCAGTAGCTGAGTGAAACAACTTGCTCATAGCTCCCATATTTGTACAGTCAGTGACAGGAAAAGATATTACTCTATTATCAACCCTAGCAGGATTCAATGATAATAATTGTTAATGGAACTCATTGCCGAATATTGGAGTGCTCCTTGACATTCCCTCCTGTGCAAAATGAGTTCAATGGTGAATCTGAAGAGATGTCCACAGCCACTGCATGGTAGCATGGTAGGGTAAGAGGGTTCAGAAGATGGAGAACTCTGGTTTTACTTTGGGTTCTCCTTGTCTCTTCTATTTGTCTTCCAGTGTTTTCAAAGGATGTTGTTTTTTTTGTGGATTGTTCTTCTCCAATTGATTCTTTCTGCAGCTTCCATCTCCCAACTGAGAGGATCAATTTCTGTCCTCAGCAAAGTGTTCTTGAGCTGATCCTTGAAGCGATGACATGGGGCCCCATGTGCTCTTTTGCCAGATGTGAGCTCTGAGAAGAGGATCTGTTTGTGGAGACGGATATCTGTCGTATGGGCAAGGTGTCCCGACCATCAAAATCGGTGGTGATTCATGATGATTTCTAGGCTCTCTAGCTTTGTATAGAGGAGAAACTCCTCCATGGATCTTCATCGTGTCATGGTGGAGGAACTTGTGCATCTTGAAGAACTTGAATGAAAAGCCATCAAGACCAGACTAAGTACGATCTGATACCTGGTGGATAGGCATTCAAGGTAACACTCTATTTACAGAAACAACAACAACAACAACAACAACAACAATAATAATAATAATAATAATGTGCTTACCTCATTGATAACTGAGCATTATTATGAATTGGGCTAAAAAGACAACATCATTAGTATGCAGTTATCAATTATGCAAGCTCAGTTTCAAACTTGACATTTGTAAATAAAAAGAAAGTACAGATAACTCTTTTAAGTATCAGAGATAGATTTTACACTATATTTATATTATGAAAAGGATCCTCCTTCTAAAATGATAAGCTGATAGCCATATCATATTGAAACACTGGTTCCGATTCGATCACCAAAGTTAAGCAATGTTGAACCTGCTCAGTACCTAGATGCGTGACTGCTTGGGAATACCAGGTGCTGTAAGCTTGGATGTATAGGTGGTGTAGTGCATAATGCATTGTTAACTGGAGAGCTGAGTTCCAATTTCAGTTGGGTTTGTTATATTCACTTATGTTCAAATACTTTTGGCAAAGGTATGAATCCACCACCCCTTCTCCCCCCAGCTATAAGACTTGTATCCCTAAAACCACTATTATCTCCCCCAAATTTCTTACAACCTAAAAATATTTTCTGGCTTTAAATAACCTGCACTGGTTTGATAAGCCGCAGAAAATGAATGAATGAAACAGTCAAAAATGATTAAAAAATCAATAATTTTTTATTCTAATAAATGTCATATGTAGATGAAGGTTTAATAAATGCTAATCTACAAAAGTTATACCCAAAAGATTTTTCCCTACTTTTTTATGAGCAGACTAGTTTGTTTAATTAGTGACAATTGCATTACTAAAATTAGCGACTGATTGATTCAAACTGGCTCATCTTTTTGTTTTTACTAAATTTCACCCCATATAAAGTAATTTTCAAAATTTTTATTTTTACAATTTTGTAATTTTTTGTAATTTTCAAAATTTTGCCATTCTTTATTTTTATAATTTAAAATTTTTTTTTAATTATCTAATTTTTAAATTTTCAAAATTTCTATTTTTTATTTTTATAATTTCTTCTAGTTTTATAATTCAAATATTTTTTAATTCTTATTTTTATGCTTACTTGCTTCAAGTGACATCAAACATGCTTTGTGTTAGGAAATATTTTTTCCATATTCAGAAGTAGTGAGAACATGTTACTAAATATGTGATGGATGAGTCTGCAGTTACAGACAGAAAGATGAAATGGTCACATTGCTCATTATATTATATATATACATCAGAGGTTTATATTCTACATCATCATTTTGTTTATGTTGTGGAGTAAATAAAACACCCCCAGTAACACAAATGAACAAGGCAAGATGCCTTAAATAAAGAACTCAAAGTGAGTCAGGTGAAGTCCGGTGAAGTCTGTCTCAGGCTTGCGTCAAGGCAAGACAAGACAAGACTCCTGACTTCGGGCAGAGGATGACTCAGTCATGCTTTGTCTTCAGATAGAGATTTGGCTGAGAAAAACAGACCAGTTCTGTACCCAAGCCCACTTTGGCAGGGACTGAATAAATTTTGACCAGTGGCCCAGGTGGAAATGCTCAGGTTCCTCATGGTAAACGACCATGTGTCACATATAGTCTGCAGTGGAGCAACCAGTAAATACCAGTCTGGTGCAGTCTGTCTCAGGCTTGCGTCAAGACATGACCTCTGTCTTTGGGCAGGGGTGACAAGACCTCCATCTTCAGGCAGAAGATGACTCAGTTGGACTCTGTCTTTGGATAGAGACTAAGCTGAGAAAAACAGACCAGTTCTGTACCCAAGCCTGCTTTGGTGGGGGCTAGGTAAATTTTGACTAGTTGCCAAGGTGGAAACGCTAGGGTTCCCCATGGTAAACTTGACCTTGTGTCGCATCTAGTCCACAGTGGGGCATCTTGTAAATATCAGTCCGACACAGTCAGGCAGTTTGCTGCAAGGCCCGTGACTGACATGTCTAACTCACTGCCTGCAGAGAGGAATCCAGACAAGGCTATGCCTACGGGCTGAGTCTCGTTTGGAGAGGTAGATAAACCCAACCCTGTGTATGCAGGGTCTATGGGGAATTTTTGCCTGAGACTACAGGCTCAGATTTGCCCCACATAAAAATCGGCTTTGTACCATAATCTGCCTTGTGGGGAGGTTGGTAAATACCAGTCTGTTGGATCAATCAGAGAGAATTCTAATGATGTGATATTTTTCAAAAATATATCTTCATATTGTCGTTGGGATTAATGGCCTGGGCTTTGCCATAGATGACACACCAGATGTTGGAAGTGCTAAAATGAATAGGCATTTTTGTCAAGTGTAAAGGAGTTTCTTTTTGCAGTTGGTTAAAACACGGATCTTGTCCTTGATCTTGGGCTAGGTGTTTATAGTCTATTTGTGATGGCTTGTCCAGATTAACAGTATTTACTGTGATTCTTGACAAAATATCTGAGATTATGTTATTTTTTTCCAGAGATGCGTCTTAAGCTGAATAACAAAATGTCTGATTTCTCAAGGTGAATATTTGTCTGCTGTTGTTTGGAGGGAATATGTGAGCGGTTTTGGGAAAGGTATGAATATTCTTCTTCTCCCTCCAGCTATGGGTAAATAGCAGGATAGACCAGGTTCCATAGCCTTGGCTGGCAACTGGTCTATCGCAAAAAAAAATGGCAATCTACTGCCTCATCAGTCATGTATCAAAAGATACATGATCACCTAAGCATGTATCATGCATGGCACATAACTGACTGTAATACAGCGCTTATTGCATTTTCTGATGCACCTGTTGCAATGGATAGTTTCACCTCTGGATTGATATACTGCAATTTGGTGCAATTCTGTAATTTTTCTTTGGCTTTGTCAAATACTAGTTTCACTTGATTAGTCCACTGAACTTTTTTCAATTGTGTGACTAACTGTGAACAGTGTAGTATGAAATGTCAGTAGTAGTTCAGCATGACAATAAATCTCTAAAATTGTTTTATGGAGTTTGGCATTGAAAAAGAACATATGACATCTACTTTCTCAGGCAAAGGTTCTCAGGCATGTGTTGTCTATCCTTTGACCTAGAAAAGATAAAGATGACACACCAAAAATGTATTTTCTGTATTTTTTAATCCGAAATATTGAAAATGCTGTAGAACTTGTTGGATGTTTCATCGGTACTATCTACATGTACAGCATCTATGTATGCATACACAAAATCTAGTCTGTGAAAAACACTGAAATGCTTGTGCTGTATTTTTGAGACCAAAAGGCATTTTTAAAAAATCGGAAACTCAAAATGGTGATGTTACTGCTGTCTTCCCATGTCTTCTTCAGCCTGGGGATTTGGTTTTGAGCTCGGATCAGATCTATTTTAAATACTGTTTTCTTTAGTAATATGGAAATAAAATCCTGTAGATGTGTGATGGAATACCTATCTGGTGTTATTCTATTCAGTTATCTCCTGTTAATTCCGCTCTCCAACTGATAACTGACATCCATTAGACATGGCACATGGAACTAGAACAGTCTACCCCAGCAAGCAAAATAAAGAGTTCAGTTCAACATTTCAACCATCTGAAGAAGGCCAGAGTGTACAACAGCCGAAACAATGTGATAAGGATGGCACCAGAGATGAGTACGATAGTCCAAGCAATGTAAATAGTGAATATACAAATAGTGTAAGGCACTGCACTGAGAAGATGTACGCTGTCTAAGATGGTGTTCAGAACCCGATACATGTTACAGAGAAAATGCTTAATAATGCTCATAGATACTTATTAAATTTACTAAAACGGAAGAACCACAAAATGTAAGATAATTAAGGTGGTTCCATGTTAGGAGAAGGATAAATCAAGTGCCTTACCATGATGGTCCAAATTATAAGACTAACTAGGAGGATTAGAAATATGTGTCATGCTCAGCTAAATGTAGATGAAAAGAAAGATACCAAAAATCCTTAGCTGGTGAAGATTTGGGGCTGTATCCTAATAAGCAAGGGACCGCTAAGGGAGGTAACTAATAGAGGCTCAGAAACTACAATGTGTAACACAACACACTGTTTTGAAGAAATGACCAAAGATTTATTTTCATTTACAAAATATGAAAAGGTCTCTGGTAAGTCATATAGTGTAGTGTTCGAATATACAGGTCCAATAAATGGATCACATTAGTGGATAGCTTTACTAAGTGGCCTGAAATTTTTAAGTGAAAGAAAAAACAACTTCCATAGTTACAGCAAATTTTTTACACAAACTGTTTTCAAGATATGGCAGATGTCATAGTCTCGGATAATGGAACACAATTCCCTGCTTACAAATTTAAAGAATTTTGTAAAATGTTCTTGATTGAAAATAGTACTACCCCACCATATCACCCAAGGTCAAACAGACAAGCTGAACAATTTGTGGGTACTTTTAAGAGAGCTCTGAAAAAGTGAGTGAAGAAGTATGACAAAAATTCTTGAGAGTATAATAATGCCAATAATCCCAATATACCAACAGGCAAGCCACCAGTAGAATTGACATTCCTAAGAAAACCTGTCACAATAATTTTGTTGATGTGATTTATCCACAGGAGTAGAGAATAATTATACAGAATGTATGGTCATTAGAAAGATCAACAGCTCAAGATGTGAGCTACAAATTGAAATTTCAAAATCAAGCGGAAACAGAAGTTTAATATCTGGGAAGTGTTTTAACAGATTATAGCAAATGTGACACAGGAATCCAAAAGAACATTGGAATAGAGAAAGATGCCTTCCAAAAATTAAACAAATAATTAAAAAAATGAAAAATTTTTGTTAAAAACAAAGTAAAGGATGTTGAACTGCTCTGTGATAATCCTTTTATATGATGTGAATGCTGGACAATTTCCTCACAGATGAAGAGAAGACTTGAGAATTATGATAAGAATACCATGGACTTAACATATGAGCAATGAGGAAGTACCACAAGTTTGCTTGTCATTGACCAAAATTGCATATTTTTTCTCCCTGATTTTATGGCACCTCATCTATTTGTATTCTCCAATAGAAAATATCTGTGGTCTCTTGAAGTATCCAGTTGAGACTTGGGATAACTTGTACCACAAGAGTAAAACCTTTCCATCCAAAAAATGAAAAAGAACTCTTAGAGTCATTGGAAAAAGAATGGAATCAATACTTTTGCAAAGGCAAAAAACAGTAATAATCAAAGTAGAAGGATTTATTCTGGGACATTAAGAAAGGCTACAGTAAATATTCCTTCTCTTCTTTATTTTCTTTACCCACATTTATTTTCTTTCTGAGTAATTGTGACACACCATGTTGGAAAGACATCTTCTGATAGATGTTGCATCCTCATCCAACAAAAACATGTCTTTGAAAATGGTTGAGAGGCAAGGACTTTGAGACAGAAATCAATTGTATGTGGCGTTCAAAAACAACAACATTACT